GAATTCTGGTAATACCCCTGTGATGGATAGCTTTCCAAAATATTTCTACAAAACATTTTGTAATCAGTTATCTTCTATTCTTTCAAGGGTCTTCAATTAAACATTCCCAAAACCATGGCTCGTAACATGAGAACTGTTTTAATTATTTTAATATTAAAGAAGAACGAAGATGGTTGCAACTATGGTGACTTTAAGCTCATATCTGTTGAGCACAGATTGCAAAATAATTGGAAAAATTTTAGTGACACAACTGAGTGCCTTCATCCCATCAGTTATACATACAAGATCATGTTGGTTTCATTAAAAGAAGATTGGCTGCTGATAATACAAGAAAAATTGCTCATTTGATCCAGCAAGCTCAGATATCAAATATTTCCTCCATAGCCTTATCTCTAGATGCAAAGAAGGCCTTTGATAGGGTGGAATTGCCTTAAATGATGACTGTCCTAAAAAACATTGGATTTGGATCAATATTCCTGAATTGGATTAGTATATAATGCAACTTTCCCCTTGCTTCACTATCAACAAAAGGAATTTCGCTCCTGCATTTCAGCTAGAAACAGGGACATGACAGGGCTGTCCCCTCTCACCCTCCTTTTTAATCTATTTCTTGAACCACTGCCAATGTACTGCCAGCTCTCAACCACTGAAGGTGTGACCATAAACACAGAAGAATTTATATGCTGATGACATTTTTGTACTATTGAAGAATCCATTGTCATCAATTCCATCATAATTGAGTATACTTGACCTTTTTTGGAAAAGATCTCTGGTTTTCAGATTAACTTCTATAAATCATAAGCAATGGATGCGTCCAAAAGACCAGATCCTTCTTAGTTCCAGCACTTTCCTTTTCAAATATGCAATGAAATCACTTACTTAAGTGGATTGCACCCTCAGCAAGTTTGCAGATGACACTAAACTGGGAGGAGTGGTAGATATGCTGGAGGGTAGGGATAGGATACAAAGGGACCTAGACAAATTAGAGGATTGGGACAAAAGAAATCTGCTGAGGTTCAACAAGGACAAGTGCAGAGTTCTGCATTTAGCATGGAAGAATCCCATGCACTGCTACAGACTAGGGACCGAGTGGCTAGGCAGCAGTTCTGCAGAAAAGGACCTAGGGGTTACAGTGGATGAGAAGCTGGATATGAGTCAACAGTGTGCCCTTGTTGCCAAGAAGGCAAATGGCATTTTGGGCTGTATAAATAGGAGCATTGCCAGTAGATCGAGGGACGTGATCATTCCCCTCTATTCGGCATTGGTGCAGCCTCATCTGGAGTACTATGTCCAGTTTTGGGCCCCACACTATAAGAAGGATGTGGAAAAGTTGGAAAGAGTCCAGTGGAGAGCAACAAAAATGATTAGGGAGCTGGAGCACATGACTTATGAGAAGCTGAGGGAACTGGGATTGTTTAGTCTGCAGAAGAGAAGAATGAGGGGGGATTTGATAGCTGCTTTCAACTACCTGAAAGGGGGTTCCCAAGAGGATAGATCTAGACTGTTCTCAGTGGTAGCAGATGACAGAACAAGTTGCAGTGGGGGAGGTTTAGGTTGGATATTAGGAAAAACTTTTTCACTAGGAGGGTGGTGAAACACTGGAATGGGTTACCTAGGGAGGTGGTGGAATCTCCTTCCTTAGGAGTTTTTAAGGTCTGTCTTGACAAAGCCCTGGCTGGGAAGATTTAGTTGGGGACTGGTCCTGCTTTGAGCAGGGGGTTGGACTAGATGACCTGAGGTCCCTTCCAACCCTGATATTCTATGAGTCTAAGATTTGTCCTAAACATCCCAAAATTGTTTCTATAAAAATGGACAATTTATTTTAAAAAGTTTCTGAGGATGTAGAGATGGCATCTCCTTCCTCTGTTCTTACTTGGGAGAGCAGAAGTAGCGAAAATGAATATCTGCCCAAGATTAATTTATATCATTAGCCTATTGTCTTTCAAAGTCTCTTCCATGCTCCTTTCTTGAGTAAATAGGCGTATCATGGAATGTATATGGAATAATAATAATAAAAAAAACAGCCTCGTTTGTCACACATGACCCTTAAAAAATCCTGGGCAACTGGAAGTATGGAATTGCCAGATTTGTATCTATATTACCTAGAATTTCAAATGCATCCTATTGTAAGTTGGTTCCCCTCCAGTGGCTCGGTATACATACTGGCTTGGTTTAAGATTGAAAAAAGCTTAGCTATGCCATTTGGTTCCCTCTCTTCTTTTTTATACCTCAAGAGGTACCCACACCCTTAAAGAAAAATCCAATCTTGGCATCTATGTGGGGTATACTACAATGTGTTAAGATGATTATAGCATCTGATCTTACTAATTCTCCTCTAATACCACTATGGGCTAACCTGTGCCTCAGGATCAAGGCCAGTTCCAGGTTTAAGACAATTTGGATAGAAAAAGGATTAACAAACATTAAAGATATAACACAAGCTGCTAGACTGGCCTCCTTCAATTAAATGTGTAACAAATACCAGCTACTGCTGTCTCACAGTTCCTTCTTTCAGCAACTATGCTCAAGTATTCATGCACAGATAGGAGACAACTGGTCTGTTTAACTTTCTCTTCCCTTGCAGAACATGTTGAGAAATATGGAAACAACAGTCATTTTGTAGGAATTACTTATAGGTGGCTTAATGCTTTTCAGCACCCTCTCAATTTCAGTTTAAAAGAAAATGGAAAAAAGAACTTAGCCTTATTGTCTCAACAGAAACCTGGGAGGATGTGTGGCTTAATGTGAAAGACACTTTTAGTTCTTTATCCTTGTGATTCTTCCAGAACAAGATATTAAACAGGTACTACTGGACTCCAGAGTGCTTGTTTAAGACTAGATTGGCGATGGACAATGAGTGTTGGAGATGCAAACAGCCACATGCCAACCTTTTTCACATCCTTTATATCTGTCAAAAATTCCAGATGTGTTCTGGAATATTATATCCAGTGCCTCTCAAAATCTTTGTGTCACTACTTTCTCTTCTCCAAGCATGTGTATTTTAGGGGTCTGGATGAGTTGGAATTACATTTACAATTAAGAAATGGATTGCAAACTATTCTAGTGTCCAAAAGAGTATTTTGAGAAAATGGAACTCTGCAATTCCTCCCTCATACACAGACTGTCTGAGTGAGCTCTCCACTACTGCATTAATGGAAAACATGACTCTGACTAACAGAAACACATGGAAAAAATACAAGGATGCCTGACCAGGCATGAAACTCTTTCATACAATCACAATTTAGTCTGTATTAATCACTGATACTTGCAAACTATGTTCTCATTTATTTATCTTTTGAGCCACTTTTAATGCCCTGCATGACCTTGACGGGTTCTGTTTTTTGCGTGTTTTTTCAGGTTTTGCAAATAATGAACATTTTACTTTGTTATTTATATGCTATTTCCGCTCTGTGTACGTATTTATATATGTTTTATTTCGTTATATACATATATTTTACATAAAAACAATAAAGTTAAAAAAAAAGAAAGGGACAAAGGACATCTGAGGACTTCCAGTAATAGTAAGACAGCTACATCACAGTTTTCTCAATAACCTTTCCTTAAAAAGGCCAGGGCATTAAGTGGTTAGGGAAGATTATTTGGACATGGACTTAACAAGCACTAGACAAATGGGCAGCACAATGGTAATTCCGTGCTCACAAATGCAAAGTAATGCACCTTGGAAGGAATTAATTTAGACTACTCACATACTCACTACTCCCGGGATTTAAATTAATGTAACCAAAAATGTCCCAGGTATCACCATAAACAACTCAATGGCAGTCATGGCTCAATGGCAGCAGTGATCAAAAAAGCAAACAAGATGTCTGGATGGATCAGCAATGAGATAGAAAACAGTACTGAAAATATTATAATGCCATTCTATAGATCATTGGTACGCCCTCATCTGGAATGCTGCCTTCAGTACTGGTCATCCTATCTTAAAAAAGATACAACCTGCAGAAAACCCAGGGATTCTGCGACAGAAGATAAAAATTCTTAGAGGGATGGAAAGATCTTGAAAAGATCAGGACAAGTTACTTTAGAGAAGAGATGACTCAGAGGGTACATTACAAAGGTACACAGAATGATGAATGTTACAGAGATTTATATTCCTATTTATCCTTTTTCAAATACAAGAACAGGAAGACATTTATGGAACTGAAAACTGATAAAAGGAAATACCCTTGAACACAACACATAATTGCTGCCAAGATATTATTGAGACCAAGAGCTCAATGGGATTTTTAAAAGGGTTGAGGATTTATATGGATAATTAGAACAACCACAGTGAGAGGAGAAAAAAAAGGAGGTAACCCTTCACCAATCTCTGACTGGTGGGAGTTAGGGAGAAACAACTCATAAGGGCTGCTTAACCCACAGCATCCACTACAGAATTCTGGCATCTTCCTCTGAGTCAGAGACAACATACTACTAGATGAGATGCACAGCTGGTCTGATCTGGAATGGCAATTCTTAAGTTCCTAGCACTCAAATAGAGTGTTGCCAATCTTTATTAATAATGGTGCTTCATTTTACCCGTCAGGAGGTTCAAATAAGAGCTCCCAGGCCTAACTCACCTAGCAGGTCTAAAATCTCAGTGAGACTGGATGAAACCCAACCTGAAAATTTCACCTTTGTTGCTGTGCTGCCAGAATGTGGGCAGTCTTGTGCACACTGTAGATCAAAAGCTCCTCCATGTGAGAGACATTTGACTGTTTCCATGTAAAGGCAGCTGTAGTCAGTGTGAGACTCCCATCCAGAACAGTTCTGCTGACTGATGCTCCAGACTATATGGTTCCATTTTGCTATAAAGTAAGTTTTACTTTGCACTTGAGATAACTAGGGCATACGGTTCGTTGTAAAAAAACATGGGTTTGCATGTGCCTCTGAGTTCTGAGAATATAGACTCTATGCAATGCTGACAGCCATGGGTGTGAACCACAGGTTCCAGCTTTAAATTGCCCTGAAATTCTCAGAAAGTGGAGTCGATAGGGTTAGTGGTAGTGGCACATAAGTGCTATTTACTGGTACACTATTTACTGGTCAGTTTAATTTCCAAATGAAATACAGCGCATATACCAGAGGAATGGGTGTATATATTTGGAGAAGGGGTGCATCTACTAGAATTCAGTTCAACAGGCATGTCCTGCTGTCAGGTGTCACTCTGCCTTCTCCAGTCAGATCCACCTGCACACGCAGCTAGCATAAATCCTTAACTGGGAGGACAATGTATAAAATAAAATAAAGCACATCCCTTGAATTAACTGAAGGGACAACAGCATCTAACACCCTGCTGGTGAACAGCAACTGGACATCACAAAAACAACCATCTTTTCAGACACACATATGAAATAGTGAAGCTAATGGTACAGCACAGGTGTGTAGCTCTGGTATCTGCTGGAAACAGACCTTTACTGCCCTTAATTAGAGATCCAAGAATCATAGAACTGTTAGGCTGGAAAGGACCTCAAGAGATCACCTAGTCCATCCCCCCATGCTGAGGTGGCTAGTGTATAAACATCAGCTACCTGGCCACTGTATTTCTACTGCAGGTCTGTCCACACTCTCCAGCATGAGAGCCAAATATATTATCCCCAAAAGCTGAGGGGCACCAAATCAATGCTTGGGGGCGGAGTCTCTGGCCTCTTCTGCTCCCATTGAACTGCTCAGACAGTGACCAATGGAGTAGAAATGATCCATGAGCCCCTGCTGGGTGCAGCTGCTTAGCCACTCCCCCCGCTGGCCATTTGCTACATCCCAGGGAAGGGAGATTAGTTTTAGTTGCTACATTATCTGCTTTGTTACTAGTAATCCCCAGCAGGCACAGAGCCAGCATATTCAGCTCCTAGGACTCCCTCCCCACAGTGCCCCTGGCACAGGGGTAATGTCAGGGTGCAGAGGGGCAGGTTGAGTGTAAGCAGGGGGTAGTGGCTGGTGTATGCAGTGCTGCAGCTGTTGTATGGTCTCTTGGGGACCCTAATCAGTTGACGCAAGTTAGATCATGGAATTCCTGTTGTTGTGTCTCAGCTTTCCTTCCTGGCCTGCCCTGGGTGCTGTCTGGGGTAAATAAGCAGTCCTTTATGGATGCTCACCTAAGCAAAGCCTTCTGAATGCCTGCCCTGTTCACCTAGGCTCTCCAAGACCAGTAGCAGTGTAGGCAATGAAGAAGCCAGAGCTACTCTCTCTTCCCCTTTGATGCAGCAGGTGGCCACAGAGGGCAGCCTACAGTAGGAGTGGGATAGCGGATGCTCACAATAAATCTGCTTTGAGGTTGCATGAGCAGCAGTGGGAGGTGCTTTTCATAGATTATAAAGCTAGAAGGACCCTCTGTGCTCACGTGTATAACACAAGCAAAAAAAAAAGGTCACAGGATCAATTCTGAATCAAATGGGGACTTTCCTAACATAGTCACCTTAAAAGGCCACAGGTTGGACAACCCTGTTCAAGTGCTTCCTTTTGCTTCATTTCCCTCAAGCTAAAACAAAGTGATTCCTGCCACGCAGGCAGAAGAGCGTAGCTATTTACTAATACATTATTTCAGAAAGGCTTGACAGGATAGGGTTAATAGATTTTAAAAGTCAGAAGGGGCCATTATGATTATCTTAGTCTGGCCTCCTGCAAAACACTGGCCCGAGAATTTCACGCTTCCGGTATCCAGCCCAATAAGGTGGTTGAATAAAAGCTTATCTTTTTAGAAAGACACCCAATGTAGATTTAAAGATTCCAAGTGATGGAGAATCTATAGAAAGCCTTTGTATTCTGGGCCAATTATCAATTAACTGTTAAAATTGTGCATTTTATTTCCAATTTAATTATTGCTGACTTCAACTTCCAGCCACTGGATCTTGTTACGATAAAGCCCTTTAAATAGGTTTCACTAAATGTTGTGTTTCATAATATTAATGATCCTTTTATCCATTACTGTTTATATTTTACAAAAGAAAAGCAATAGGCCAGATTCTGAACTCAGTTACACTAAGGTAAATCTGGAATAAACTCATTGCCCCCAGTAATTTCAATTTTACGTTGGTATGGCTGAGACCAGCTTCTGCCCCAAATACACAGATGTAAGCCACGCAGATCCACAAGAGTGCAATAGTTCAGATTTTCATGCTCTTCACAGGTCTTCTGCTTTATTGTGTTGACATTCTGAGCAGCTCAGTATAGAGGGATTCAGCTGTAAAGTGCAGCCCTTTGAGGAACAAATGAAAGAGGCCTGGAAGTGTTTTATATGTCTGAACCCAGCTCTGCAAATTGCTTGTCTGATATGTGATTGGCTAATGATTCTATGATGTCAAGAAGGAGCGGCTGACTGAGGGATCGCAGGTTTGGCAACTTGGAGACCTTCAGGGAAAACAAAAACAAACAGAAAAACACACAAAAAGGAAAAAATTAAAACCATAGTTTAAATATCACTGTTTAATCCCAACCGACCCATACTAGACATATACAGGTTAGTGAAATCCAGTGATATTCCATTGTGTCTATATTGTCATGTTACTAGTAAAATGACAAGCACACAGAACCAGGCTGTAAAGCTCCATGAAAATCACCACAACTGTAGTTTCTATGTAAAATAATAATTCTCCTTTCTTGTCTTCTGGTTTTAGACCGCCTTTGCAATGGGATGGAGTTGAAGGTATGTCAGGAAATCTGACACGAGAATGACAATAATTATTCATAATAATGATTCCATAATTAATATACAGGATGCAAACTAGTGCAGGCTAAAACATACCTTAGGCACCTAAACAGCTTTGAAATTCATGCCCTTTGTATTTCTGCTGACATTCAGATCCACTAGAACTGGCAGCTCAGGATTTGTGCAAATAATCTATCGACTCTGTTCTGCTGTGCCCTGAGAAGTAGCTCAAAGTACTGCTCTATTTAGTGCACATGACATTTTTGCCTGGATCTTTCAAGCAGTTAAAGAATGCCATGAGAACCAATAATCAACATGTGCATTGAAGCTTAGCTTACCAATTGCTCTATAATAATGTTTATTTTCTGACAGCATCAGACTGAATGGAGACTTCACACAAACCCAAGTTTTCTCTGAAGAGCCATTTTCTGACCTTGAGAAACATCCCTATTTTACCTTATATTTTAGCCCAATAAATGGAGACTATTTGGATATCTTTTTTTACTTGCTTAATAATATTTCCTCCTATTTTTGTAGGTCCAGTGTCTGTAGTGAAGAAACAAAAGCATTTTGTGCATCTAGTATAACACTGAAATGAAGCAGATGAATCAGGCCACTTCTGGAAAGAAATCAGTACACAAAGTTATATGTCCAAAATAAGGGGCAGTAGACAATGTGCAGGGGATGGAAGGATAGATCCCATTAACATTAGTGGGAATTAGGCACCTGCACCCAAGAGCATATTGCATTGAGATAGGATTAAGACCAAGGGCAAAGACACAGAACTATGTCAGAGTATAAACAAAAAAGAGTTTTATTAGGCATTTGTATAAACCTGACACACACTGGGAGACTAATGTATAACCTTGCCCAAAGTATTACAACAATATAGTCAGCTCTCCAGTTAATATTCTTTTTCTCTGATATTCTGAATAGGGAACAGCAACCCTTAACCCGTCAACAGAGCTGAAGGAGACTGTAATGGCCACATGTTCATATCGTGCTGAGCAAAAAGTTACATACCAAAACCTCCGAAACACAACATAAACATTACAGCATTTGGATTTCTTGAAAGCTGCAGGTATTCTCCTTCCCTAGCACTCAGTCTTTCAATGATAATTTGATGAGCCTGTCCCTAGAATCAGACAGTTTTTAATTTACAAAACAGAATTAAAAGAAAAAAATTAGCAACAATGACAGAAATTTAACAAAATGTCAGAGTTCAAACATTTTCTGAAATGATGCATTTTGTTCATTTTTCTGGCCACAGTGCAACACTGGACGCAACATTAGTTTCAAGTTACTTGTTACTGATCAGGTCTACCACAAGAAAGTCAAGACTACAGCCCTGCAAATCTGCGGATATCTGCTTTATATCCACTCAAGACCATGACACTGCATTAAAATAAGACATTTTGCACAGCAGTAAACGCAGCCGGATAAACACTCTATGACTGCCAGAACCTATTGTATAATCTCATTTCCAAATGGAAATGTAGAACATGGAATGCTGAATCCATTAGGTTAATTCTAGCATAGATTATGTCTTTCCAGATTCTTCAATATTTCTGTATTTTTTTCAGAGATCATACATTTTAAATATTACTTGTATGCAGTGGTCAATTGTGTCATTTTGGTCTTTTGTTTTTCCCTGATGCAGTTCAGTTTTTTGAATGGAAAGAATGCAAAGATGATAGAAACAAACACCCTCCTCCTTATTTTGGGCCTGACAGTACCTAGGTAGGTGTGCAAGCGAGGTGCACTTAGTGGACAGAAGGGACAGCCCTGTTTGGTTACAGATCCATATGTGACTGTGGGTAAGTCCCTCAGGGCCAGATTTCCAAAGACATTTACGTACCTAAAGGTGCATGTAGGCATCTAGGGCTAGATCCACAAAGGGACTTCGGTGCCTAACTGCCATTCTAGGGGCTTAACTAAAAAATGCGAGTGTCCTTGAGATTCTTACCCTCTACTCAGCTGCTGCCCAAAGTCCATAGCTACCTACGTTTTTGCTAATAAAATTTCCTATATGCCTAAGTTTCTGCCAGTGGCATTTTCAAAAGCACCTAAATAGATTTGGTGCCATTCACTTCAATGAGAGCTAGACGCCTAACATGCTCAGGCACATCTGAAAATCCCATTCTGTATCTATCTGCATCTTAGGCACCTAAATACCTTTATATATCTGGTCCTTAGTCTCTCGGGGATAGATTGACAAAGGGACTTTTAGGTACACTGCCTCCCAGTAGAATCCTTAGTCTTGAGTCAGGTGCCCAGGCTCCCTATACAATGCTTGGAGAGAGAGACAGCTGAGCGAGGAGCCTTGCTAAGCCAGTAAGCAGAAAAAGCCAAGGCAGTTAAATGCCTAGCTCTGGGCCTGAGGGGGGCGCCTAGCTGCATTTGGGATTCTCAGCTGTGAACCCTCTCTTGCAGCTACGTGTCTTAGCTAGGCCAGCCCCTTCTCAGGAAAAAGGAGCAAGAGAAACTAACCATAGCTGCCCACTGGCTGTGGCACTCAGCCCTGATGCAGGAGACCAGTTTTCAAACTGCCCTTATGCCTGATTCAGAGCAGGTTTGTGATCTTGATTTTCCCACATGCCAGGTGAGTTTATTCTGGGATGAGTGTGCTACTGCCTCTCCTGTTGGACATGTCCACTTCATATAAATAATGAAATATTCATTGGAACAGGGACTTGTCCTTGTCCTAGGTCAGTGCCTTAGTCACTGAGCTATTGTCAAGCTCTTTCCTGTTCCAATGAATTGTTAATTATTTCATACAAAGTGGAACAGCTTTAACAGGAGACACTAAGCAAGCCCCATCCAAGAGCAGGCAATAGCTGAATGATTAAAACACACCCCTTGCATGTGTGGGGCCTGGGTACAAGTCCCTGATCCAAATCAGGCAGTGCAAGGATTTGAAAACAAGTCTTCTCTATCCCAACTGAGCGCTCCCAACTCTGGGCATTGGGTACATGCCCACAGAGTTACAAATGTCCTTTGTGCAGCTTAGACATGCTCAGAGTCTGCTTACCAGATTGGGGAACGCCTCATTTGTGAATCCACCAGGGTTTAAGTGTAAGAGAGGGCTCTGAGCAGCTTGGTGATTTCAGTGGTTTTGTGCATGCCTTCTGGCAGAAACTCAAGTGCCTACAGTGTTAGGAAGTAGCTGAGTGGGGGTTGATGATCTCACTGGTACCTAAAAGTTGGACATTGCCATCTGCAGTGGGAGTTACACACTTAATTCCCTTTGTGGATCTAGCTCTCTGTGCCCTTGTTTCCCATCTATGAACTGGAGTTTACAGTGCTTCCTTACCTCAGGGGAATGTTGGGAGGATAAATATAGTAAAGACTATTAGGAGCTCAGATACTAACGTGACAGGAGCCATATAAATTTGCCAGATTAGACATGTTGGCAATTTTTCGTCTGCGAGAGACGGTGGGAATTGCAGCCTATGATGTAGATGATTTGCAATGTCTCATGTGACTGAATAATCCAATCTGAGATTTGCAAAATCTTTGGCAGTTATTGCAAATGTCTGTATCTTGGTTGGGAACTGCTTCCTTCCTACAGGCTCTTTTCTCTTCAAGCTGTAAGAACCAGCTTCTGTCATGGACTTTGATACTCTGATGGAGACGATGGCGCCACTTGTTACCGTCACTTGCCAAGACTTCCCGTTGGTCAGGATCAATTCCAAATTCCTTCATATCTTGCTTGCATGTGTCTTTATAGCGAAGCTTGGGACGTCCTGTTGTTCTTGTTCCCTCCAACAGCTCCCCGTATAGCATGTCCTTGGGTATGTGTCCATTTTCCAACCTACTCAGATGGCCCAACCAGCGCAGTCGTCTTTGCTTGAGCAGGGCTGTTACACTTGGTAACTTTACCCTTTGAAGAACCTCTGCATTGGAGACTTTAATTGCCATTTGGTGTTGAGTATGTGGTGTAAACAGTGTAGGTGGAAACTGTTTAACCCTTTCTCCTGATGAGCATAAGTTGTCCATGTTTCCCCACCATACATGAGAGTGCTGAGGATGCAGGCTTGGTACACTAGCATTTTGGTCTTGATGGTAAGCTTTGAGTTGTTTCATGCTCTTTTAGTTAGTCTGCTAAAGGTGGTGGCTGCCTTTCCAATGCGAACATTTAGTTCTTCATCCTGTGAGAGGTTGGTGGTCACTGTAGAAGCTAAATAGCTGAACTTTTGGACTACTTCTAGCTGATTTGCATTTAAGGTAATTGAAGGATCTTGTGGAACCCCCTGTCCTAATACAACCATTTTCTTGATGCTGATAGTGAGAGCAAATGCCTGACAGGCACTTGAAAGGAGGTCTATGAGTTCTTGTAGTAGATCTTCATTGTGGGCTAACAGGGCATCATCATCAGTGAATAGAAGTTCCTTGATTAGCACCTTTTTGACTTTGGTCTTCGATTTCAGTTGGGACAGCTTGAAGAGTTTGCCATCTGATCTTGTGTGGAGATACACTCTATCTTTCATGTCCTTAAACACACAGTTCAAGAGTACCGAGAAGAAGATTCCAAAGAATGTAGGCGCAAGAACACATCCTTGCTTCACTCCGCTTTTCATCTCAAAACTGTCGGAGGTGGACCCGTCAAACTGGACAGCTGCTCTCATTTTATTGTGGAATCACCATATAAGACTTAACAGGGTTGATGGGCATCCTATCTTTTCTAGTATTGCAAATAGACCTACTCTGCTGACTGTGTCGAATGCTTTGGTTAGGTCCACAAAGGTGATGTACAATGCTAGGTTTTGCTCTCTGTACTTTTCTTGGAGTTATCGCAGAGAAAATATCATGTCTATAGTTGATCTTCCAGCCCTGAATCCACACTGTGATTCAGGGTAGACACGATTTGCCAGCTGTTGTAGGCACACTAAGGCCT